ATGGTGTATTTTGTTTATTATGTACCCCAAACACTTAGAACAGTCCCTGGCACTCAGTAAATACTTGCCAAATGTAGGGATAAAACATTTCATTTTTTCCTATTCTTTTCATTGCTACTATTTAGTCTTTCTTATCTAAAGATAAATCCAAGTCCAGGATTGGAGAGGTCGGAAAAAATGTCAATAACTGTAGAGGAGTATAGAGGAAAATTTTGCTTCATATTCTGTTATGGCTCCCTAAAAAAGTGCTCTGGTAGGAACTAATTCTCTGGTAGGGAGAGTCTTAAACATCTCTGAGAATGTCTAGGAAGGCGCTGTGGCCAAGATGGAGACACCGCCTGCCCAGGAGACTCTCTTGGGTACTTAGGATTAGGATATCCTGTGTGTTGTCAGCCTCTTGCCTGTTGTGCAACTCAAAGAAAGTGACAGCACGTTCTGGCAGGATTGCTCCATTTCCTTCCCCTTTGCTGTTACTGACCTCTGCTAATGTAAAGCAGCGTCTCTGCTCGCCTTCAAGGGCTGCGCTCTGATTGTCCACCAGGAAAACATTCAGTAACAAATCTCATCGTTCTGGAAAGTAAAAATAACCCCAGGCCTCAAAGCCCACAGTAACTTCCGCCATTTATCTCCTAAAATGGCTTCTGAGGTTTGGAAACTCGTCAGTGAGAATGGCACATGGGGTCACAGGTCTACAACCTTCAGTGTTACCAAGAGAGTAAAGAGAAAAGGAAACTCAATGCAACTTCCGCCTTCCCTTGACCACTAGACGTGCCTCCTGCAGCAACTTGCCGCACACTCTAGTTATTGAGGTGACGCTATGGCTTTTTTTTTTTTAAACATAAAATAAAATATCCATGCTTCCATTAATCCTCCCTCTTATCTAATTCCATCACCTCTGGCCAACTCATGGGAGGAAAAAAAAAATTCTATCCCTTTATTTAGATGAACATTCTAATATGCCTCACCAAGAAAACATTAAGATTAATGATCTCAGTGAAGTCCTTCTGATAAGGCAGCAGCATGATATTCTAAAATAGCAAGAATAAAAACAAAGAATATGTTCATGCATAAACATCCCTCTTAATACATGAGTTTTGGAAAGTTCCATATTTCATGAATCATTAGCCTATTTTATCTCGGTGTTATACAGTCATTTCCAAGACTGTGGCGATGTTGCCACCTACTGTTTGCCTGGAAATATACTAGTATAATTCACTTTATATAACCATACTCTTCCCTCTAACTGCACTTCTCTCTCTGCAAAGACCATATTTATCTCAAATCCTTCTTCTTTTAAAATGATTTATTTAATCACTTATTCTTAAGTACTCTACAAAATTATCACAAGAAATTCTTCCACCGATATACTAGGAAATCCGGAGGAAGTGGCCTAATTTTCCTCAAATCTCCCCCAATATGTTGAAATAATTTTTAGGTTTGAAGAGATATATAGTATGTGTAATGGAAACCCCATTTTATTTATCTATTATTATTTTTTTAAATTTTAAATGTTTATTTATATTTGAGACAGAGTGTGAGCAGGTCAGGGGCAGAGAGGGAGACACAGAATCCGAAGCAGGCTCCAGGCAAAGAACTGTCAGCAAAGAGCTTGATGTGGGCTGGAACCCATGAAATGTGAGATCATGATCTGAGCCAAAGTCAGATGCTTAACTGAGCCATCCAGGTTCTCCTGAAACACCATTTTAAAATACATTAGTCTCCAATCTAATTCAAAAGAGCTAAGATTAGTGGATTGGTGTTAGTTTTAAGATTCAAATTCCAGATATTTACAAGGCAAATATCTGCTATTTTCCCCCAGGTAAATATATTTAGATGTCAGTAATCGTCAATTCTTTTTATTAGGATAAAATAACCAATTATTCTACTAACCAATGTTTACTTTGTAGTTCCATGAGGTGCATGTAGCACTATTTTAAGTACAATGTTGATTCAAACTAGAAATTAAGTGAAAATTTTAAAATCTTCTCAACCCTATTTCAGGTTAATTTAAATGCACTGAGAGAATCTATGGCTTACAGACAAATAACTATTCTAGACCTAGTAACAATCATAATTAAAATCTGTGAGCTGTTTTACAGTATATAAGTTTTTTTGTATAATTTAGTAAATTTGGTCCTAGTAACAATACTGTGAAATAATTAGTACAGTAATTGTTTCCGTATTACAGATAAAGAAAGTAAGACTGGAAGAAATCACAATACTTGTTGAATACTGCATGGCCCAAATAACTACAATTCCAATTCTCTTAATACCTAAGCTTGTTCACTTATTATTTCTTTTGAGTAGGTTTAATTAATTTGCATGGTAGTTACTCAACTCTTTTTCAACTTTTGCTTATTGAATGATTACTTTTCAAGTATTTTCAAAAATCATGCCATTCACCTCCAAATCTTCGGACAAATCTCTATTAACTGAAATCTACTGAAATGTATTCTTATCCTGTGAAGCTGACCTGGGCAAGCAAGTCCCCAAATGCTGCTTTCCTTCAGTATGTGCTGAATATTTGCTTTAGTAAATAGCAAATCCTTTAAAATGGTATAAAGTACTACATTTCATTACTTGTACTATTTCTATTGCTGCTAGCAAATTACCACAAACTTAGAGGCTTACAATAACAAAAATATACGCTATCACTACTCTGTAGGTCAGACGTATTGGCATGAGGTGAGCGAATTTTGGTCTGAAGGTATCTTAAGGCTGAAAGCAAGGTATTGGCCAGGCTGAGCTTTTGTGTGGAGACTCTAGGGAATGATCCACTTCCAAAGTTTTTCAGAACGTGGACAGAATTCAGTCCCTTTCGTTGACTGAAGTCCCCATATCCTTGCTAGCTGTTGACCAAGGACCAATTTTAGCTCCCAGAGGTCACAGACCTTCATTGCCCTAAAGAGCCTTCTCCATCTTCAAAGTCAGTAATGGAAACATTTTCCCTTGTTGAGCCTTTCTGATGCTTTGGCTCTTTCTAACCTCCCTGTCTCTGACTTCTAGACACACATATATTGAAGGGACCCATGATTAGGTCAGGCACTCCTGGATGATTTCTTTGTCTTGTAAGGTCAGCTATTTTGGGACCTTAATTTCATCCCCAAATCCCTTCACAGCAACACCTCGATTAATGTTTGACTGAATAACTGAGAGAAGGTATGCACATACAAAAGGGCTGGGCATTTTGGGGGTCTTTTTAGAATTTTACTCACCATGCTTGTCATCTGTGTACCTACAAGCATTTTCTAATTTGGCTTCTAGTCTCCAGTCCCTGACTTAATGCTCCCATAAATTCACATTACAAAGTAGGACCCTCAATGAATCTTTCTAAAGCATGGTTCTGATTAAATTTAATATCTTGCTTAAATTGATAATAAAACAACCAACACTTTGAAGGTCTCTCCTGGTAAGTAAGGTCACTAAAAATCAAGATCTGTGTCACCTGTTTCCCTCTACTTTCCTTCACGCATCATTAAATGGAGAATTCACCCTGTGTGTCCTGCATACAGCAAGCTCAGTACTTTGACTTCTTCCCTCTTTTCCTTGCCCTCATCTTTACAAATCTTAAATGTTGTTTCAAGGCTACATTCCAGTGTTAACTCCTCCAAAGAGCTTTGCATTAACCTCTTCTCCTTTGAATGCCTTTGCTTTATTTTATTTTTTTTAAAGTTTATATCTCTAGTGTAGTTAGCTCTCCATCTTGGGTTAGGGAAAGTAAAAATTGTAAGGAATAATTGCTCCTACTGAATGGCAAACTCTTCCAGGCCAGATCTGGACTTATATCATGTTTGTCTGTCTACAACACCTGGTAGTACCTTGGAGAGATTTTATGTTGCCTAATGCTTGTTGAGTCTTTAAATCAAATTGGGAACCAGAGGGGGTCAAGAATTCATAGATCTGGGATGCCTGAGTGGCTCAATTGGTTAAGTGTCAGACACTTGACTTCTTGCACAGGTCATGATCTCACAGTTCATGAGTTTGGGCTTAACATCAAGCTCTGCGTTGACAGCATGGAGCCTGCTTGGAATTCTGTCTCCCTCTCTCTCTGTCCCTCCCCTGCTTCCTCTCTCTCAAAATAAATAAAAATAAACTTAAGAAACGAACTCATAGATCTTCATTGTGAATGTTTAATGAAAATTTCCACATCTTTGGCAGTTCAGGCTGATAGTCTGTTCTTTTGTGGCAACTAGTTTTCAAGGTCATTGACTCCAGAGTTGTGGTATTTAAGTTAGACTATATTCTTCAAATGCCTACCTAAACATGTTTTTCTGTTGAAATTTAAGAAAACTTTCAAGAGCTAGAGAGAGACTTAGTCTTTTACCTTATTTTCTCATTCACAGACAGAGTTAACTGTCTGTGAATATTAGTAATATTTCTCTACAAAGCATTCTTTGACTAGTGGACTCTGTTGCATGAGTTGCGTGTGACTCAGCCATTATTTTGGACTTTAAATGAGTTGCCATTTATTTAAGCAGGCTTCAGAAACATGATTAGTCATTCTGTGATTCAGCTTGCACATTTCCAGTTATTATTAATTAAAAATAAGAACAGAACAGATATTTACTTAGTAATTTCCTGAATTTTCAAATGGCTTTGGCATTAATTATCAAATTTTATTTCATAAAACATGTATGCATGTTGTCAGCTGTGAAAAATACCTTACCTTAGAGATCCCTTTTAGAACATACTGGAATTAAGTGATTTTGGAAAAAAATGAATTAACTTATGAATGAAAAAAGTGAATGAACTTATGGAAAAATGACAGATTATAAAATAAATGGAAGCAGAGAAAAAAATTGAATTTAAAATTGCACATTTGAAAAATAATCATAACCTTACAACTTAACTAAGGAACACAAAAAGACCTAAACAAATAGATAATCATGTCATTATAACAACACTGTGAATTGTAAAGATGTCCGTTTTCCCTAAATATTCTACAATTGATGTGAATTCAAAATTTCAAACAGATTTTTTTCTTGTTTGTTTTGGCTTAGAAATTTATCTGTAATGGAAAATGCACAAAACTACTAAGAAAATTTTGAAAAAGGAACGATGAAGGAAGATTTGCCCTGCTGCATATCTAAAGTATACTTTAAATTTGTTGTAAGTAAATTAGTGCAGAATTAGTATAAGAATCAACAAAAAAGTCACAGACTGTAATATGGAATTCAGAAACATACCATTTAGTTTTGAAAATTGAAGTGGAAAAATTATTATGCAAAAGATATTGGGCCAGAGATTACTAGTTGGTCCATTCTTCTCTGCTACTTTTGTTATAGAACCTATGATTTCCCGCTGAAAATATGGCTGCCTACATTAAAGACCATACTTTGTAGCCTCCCTTCCAGTAGGGTGGCCTTGTGATTAATTCCAGATCGATGGGATGGAAGCATGGAGGTAGTACTGTGATCTCAAAGTAAAAGGCATAGCCACCTTTGCCCTTCTCCCTTCCTGCTGGTTGAAACAAGCACATTATCTGCTATCTTTTTTTTTTTAATGGTTATTTATTTTTAAGAGAGAGAGAGCTAGAGAGGGGCAGAGAGAGGGGGAGACACAGAGTCCAAAGCAGGCTCCAGGCTCCAAGCTGTCAGCACAGAACCTGACTGCAGGGATGGAACCTATGAACCACAAGATCATGACCTGACCTGAAGTCAGACCCTTAACTGGCTGAGCCACCCAGGCTCACTTATCTGTTATCTTAAAGCAGTCTTGGCCCATGTGGAAAAAACCATGGCTGTAGTAGGCAGAGAAATAATATAGAAAGAACAGGGATCCATGACACTACAAGCCCTGGCTTGCCTACCTTTAAATCTTATTTTTGGAGAAATATACAATTCTATTTTGTTTGTGCCTCTCTTATTTTGGATTTTCTATTATCTCTAGATGAACCCTGTTCTAACTGTCACAGATACAAGACTATTGATTACACACTTAAGAAACAAATTTAAAGTTTACAAAAAAGTGAAAAAAAGGAAGAAATAAAAAAGAAACCACCTTACTAAAACATGTTAAAAGAAAGAATCTTCAAACCCAAAGCATATATTTCTGAGCCTAGGTTTCATCTCTCTACTGCTAATGTAGCATTCTTTAAAGGGGTGTCTTTATTTTGGTAGGATAATGGTGTCTGTTCTAAAAGTTCATTTGTAAGTTTCTTGATTAAGATTTGGAATATATTTTCTCATAGAAGTAAAGTAATGGACGATTGTTTGGTTCCCTATGAGCCAGTGCTACAGAGGAAAACAGTGGGTCCTGATAAAGACACAGGGGCTTGAATCAATATTGATAGTAGTATGTATTTCCAGTCCTCTATCTTTCTAATAAAATCACATTGTTAAGTTTACGGTATTTTGTGTGTTTGTATTATCATGAACATAAATGTTGTTGATGGTTCATCCAAATATGATACTATGATTATTTTTCCTTTACTACAACTCTGTTTTCCTTGGGATTAATTATAGCTTATTTTCTTCATTTGCTTATGTCTCTATGAACTTATCATCAGTTTGACCCTAAACTCTCAACCAATAGTCTAAATCTCTCCTTAATACATTCAGACCCACCAGGCATTCTTACAGATCTTCAGATATGCTTCTATCTGGAATAGTTTCCCCTAGAGTCTTGGACTCTTAGCTTTGGACTGAGAATCCTGGTAGCTCTGCCTGATTGGCTGGGCAGAAGAGAAATATCTCTTCCTAGATTAGGTGCATACATGTTAATCATAGGATTAGAAATACGAGAATCTGATATTTTCAGCCTCTGTAGTGAAAATTGGTCTATTGCTTCTACCAGGACTCTCAACATAGGTATTTTTTCCCCCAAATGCAGGAAAGGTTTCAGATTCTGGGCAGTAAACAAAACAAAAATAGCACCAATATCCATAAGGGGCTATGACTAAACAATGTTCATTATGAATCTAATTGAATTTATAAAACAAGTAGCAAATTGAATAGCTGTACTTGTAACATTCACTAATTATAACATTTAAAATGTCCCAGTTTTCAGATGCCTCAGTAGCTCGGTCTGTTAAGTGTCTGCCTCTTGATTTCAGCTCAGATCATGACATCATGGTCCTGAGATGGAGCCCCGAGGCAGGTTCCACATTGAATGTGAATTCTCTTTCTCCCTCTCCATCTACCCCTCCCCCTTCTCAAAATAAATAAATATTATAAAAGTAAATTTACCAGTTTTAATCAGTTTTCTAAAAATTAAATTCCTATATAGTATCTTGCATCATGTTCTGAGATATCTGGCTACTTCTATTCTCTTTAGGGTTCTTAAAAAATAATTAGGAGATGGCAAGGGCCTGAAGAGCAAAGTTGCTATGGAGGGATCTGAAGGGCATCTCTACCCCTCTCCCCATGAGCTCTGTCACAGTGATATAACAGTGTCCTCAATGCCACCTTATTTTTTGAGATAATTTAAACTTACAAAAGAGTTTCAAAAATAGTACAGAGTTCTAGTATGCTCTTCTCCAAGCTTTCTCTTATGTTTGCATCTTACATAACCACGGAACATTTACCAAAACTAAGAAAACTAGGAAATTAACCTTGGCACAGCACTATTAATTAGATAATGTATTTGTATTTCACTAATTTTTCTGAAAATGTTCTTTATTTATTTCAGAGCCCATTTTACCCTTAGGAATGCCATTTATTTTATTTTATTTTATTTTATTTATTTTATTATTATTCCAGAAAACTCTACACATAGAAGCTGTACAGTTCTTCCCTGGGCTAGTCATGTTAGGTGCTTAGTTGGAATTAAATCTTTTTAACTTTCTTTAACGTTTATTAATTTTTGAGAGAGACAGACTGTGAGTGGGGGAGGGGCAGAGAGAGAGGGAGACAAAGAATCTGAAACAGGCTGCAGGCTCTGAGCTGTCAGCACAGAGGTCTACACAGGGTTTGAACCTACAAACCATGAGATCGTGACCTGAGCCAAAGTTGGATGCTTAACCAACTGAACTACCCAAGCTCCAACCCCTAGTTGAAGTCAATTTCTAAGATCAGTTTCCTATTATGACAATTAAAGCATGGAAGTGAAGGGGTTACATTTAATTTGGAATACACCACAGGGAGTATAAATAAGTGTAGAGGACCATGAGTGGGTCTCCTTTTCTTTAATATTTTACAGAATCACAGAATATTAGAGTCGGGAAGAACCGAGATCATATTACCCCAATCCTCATTTTGCAAAGGAACCAAGATCCAGAAAATTAGGTGATGTGCCTTCACGGAACAAGGCTTCATCTGGAACTTGGGTTTTTAATCTGCTGGCCCTTCCGCTGCAGCAGCAGTTCTCCGTGCAGTCCAGGGACCCCCCACACTCTGTGAGGAGATTGTGACATCAAAATTATTTCCATACTAAGATGTTATTTACCTTTTTCACTCTTATTCTCTCACCGAGTGTACAGTGGAGTTGTTCAAGGGCTGCATAGCACGTGGTATTGCAACAGAATACAGAAGCAGATGTGAGATTCTAGTGATTTTCAATTTCTAGATGCTAACAAGATTTGAAAAATATGAAATGGTGTGAAGCCTATATTTCTTTTTTGTGTTTTGGAGGATATAGTTATGTTTTAAAAAACATATTATTTATTTTAACAGGTAGTCTGTTTATTACTATTCTACTTTGAAATATGGTAAATATTGAGTGACATACACTACATAAAAGAAAGGTTTTGGAATTTGCAATAATTTTTAAGCACTGTCCCAGTATTTGGAAGGATGTCCTTAGTAAGAGAAGAAAACATGGTCTGGACAACATTCACTATCAAATTTGTTAAATTAATGGTGTTATAAAAATGTTTTCTGTGACACTCCTCTTCTTTAAGTAGAGCTCTGGCCATTTTGGAGTAATTTTTTTTACTCATTATATGTGATTGCAAGCTCCGTATGTGCCTTGGAACTCAGATTTCATGCTCCTACATTCATGATTGACTTTATTTAGCTTTATGGGGTTTGGCTAAATGTATGAATAATGATTGAAAATGCTGTGTTAAAATGGTTTTGAACTAGTTTTTATTTTATCAACTCTACATAATTGTCACCTGTACTTTTTTCAGAGACTTGCATTGTTTTGTACTTCTTGCTTCTTTGAATTTATAGAAGGGGCAGATGACAAGAGAAATTCCCTTCCCAGAGCAAGTGAAGAGACAGCAGCAACAACAAATCATCACAATCCCTGCCAATGTGTGTCTGCTCATGAAATCACTAACCCTCTACACAGCTGTGCCCAAACTATTTTTTAATGATAGATTTAAAATCTCAGTCCTGTAAACAGATCTACTGTTTCCTTAGAAAATGGAATGTTTCTAAGCAGAACTGGGGAGAGGTAGAGGCTGGGTAGGCGGAGGAGACTACCAGAAGCTGTTGTGATCAGGAGTTCCAGAACTCCTGAGGGAGCCCAAATACTACTCTTCACAATGCTTGGCCATATTCTCTTCAATTAAGGGTGTTCAATGACCATTGTCTGGTTGTCCGTCACAACTAGATACATATGAAAGGGGAGCAAACCCATGGAGCTTTTGGAACACAAAACTGGAGAAGGGTAAAGTGCTAGTATCCTTCCGTCACTGTTGTCATGGCCTCATGCTGACACTAAACTATGGTTTGTGATTGATGGAGTAGGTAAGAAAGACTATTCTCCCCTTTGTACTCATCTATTATTCTCACAAATCAGTTAGGCCCTTAGCACCATTGGTCATGTTTTATCCTATTTCCTTAGCAGTTAGTGCTGGGAAGGAAAGAACTTTGTGTCTCATACATTGTTTTGTAACATGTAATATACACAAACGTGAAGTAAAACCAGAATTATTGTGGTTTCATTTTCTGCCACTGTTTCTTGTACAATGAAAGAATAGGTTTAATCTTGTACTTAATTTGCATCCTTTGCTCTTCCAGTCCTATTAAATAATTCAACAGAAGGCAGTAACTTAGTGGTAAACAACACACTGTTTCCCCTGGTTGGTACTTAGTAAACTTTAGCTCCTGCAGTCTGTTCTCATAGAATGAATCCCATCATTCCGTTAATCATTTTAGTCACTCCTCTCTGGATCCTCTCAATTAGAGTACATCTTTTTGGCAAGAGAAGTACTC